TCATTCAATTCCTTGTTCCTATTGTGCAATTTAATTATATTCATATCAATAAATATTCTACCGAGAAAAAGACGTTGTCACGTAAAATCTTCGCCCGTAAAACCGACTTTACAGGCAACCATTTTTTATTATTTTTTGAGGCTGTAGGTCATCTCGTCATATTTTAAATGAGTACAACATCGAATATAATAATTGTAAAGATGATTGAATATAATTTCCTATAATAACGTAACCTTTTTTCCCCCCCAACATCGTTTTTTGACACTCTTCTTAGCATATTATAAAGAAATATTGTCCCAAAATTTATTAGTATTATGCCTCCGATATTATAAATAAAAATAAAGTATCCGGACGAGTGAGCACCTAACCTATAAAAGCGACGAAATGGAAACTTCTTTGAACCACAAAAGAATAAAGTTTGACGAAACCAATTATTATTTACGGGGAGTAAATAATTGGTTTCGTAACAATTTCTTTCTTATCGTATCCTTAATACATTTTTAATTATAAAGGAAATTCTTTTGTTTACTATAATTAAGTATTTAGAATGAAAGTTCATTTTTGACGATATAATGAGTGAACGAGGGGTGGCGCTTAATTAATTCAGTAAAGGAAAATGTCGGTATGATTAATTTTTGTTTTTCAATAAGCGTGGCTCTTATACGACACCATGCTATTAATTTATCATTAAACATGCTTATTTTGAAATTATACTAAGTACCTTGTATTTTTTTAGTCTCCCATATTTTGGTACTGTGGCAAGTGCCATGATCACGAAGTAACTTCGTGACTAAAACAAGGTACATGGTCTTGCTAATAACTGCAATATGACCATGAAATTCTGTGGTGCTGTTTCAGCGGCCAAACCGTAAGAGATATATAAAGAGAATGTTTAAGTTATAAGTTAAGAATAGTCTGATAAGACTACAAACCGGATTTGAGTAACGTAGCACTTCCGGTTTTCGAGAAATCACGAATTTCAAACGAAACTACACAAAATCTCCGAAGTTCTCAATTAATTAAATACATTTTTTTTTTAATTGGTGAACATTTGGTTCACTGGTTTGCTAGTATTAAATAATATACAGTAGACCTGCGGTAATCCGGGTCCCGTCTAATCTAACGCTCCCTGTAATCCGGCACGCTTATCACTGTTGATTTGCACATAAAATAAATTGAAATAGATTTTTTAATTTATAATTTGTCAGATTACAAGGTACAATTCATCAGCGCGTGGAAGATCATTTCTATCCTAAACTTAATTACTGAATACTAATGCTTGCTTAAACTTAATTAGTAACACTAATGTTACTATTCCGTTCATAAGTGAAACTAACTAATGCTGTATTAAAAACTTGTGATTTTGAGACTGATTTATTTTCGATTTGCTGGTTTGAAATAAATATTATACCGTAACTTTGAATCACTATATTTTTCCTCCATTTACTAAAAGCTAATTTTCGTAAAATACTTTAAAGATTTCATTTTGATGTGTTAGGATCAACCCGGGTTGGCGGCGAATGTTACCGTACCCGGGCGGGTTAAAAACATACCTGGTTGCAATCTCTATTCCCGGTGCGAGGTCGCCGTTGAAACACTTTGGAACCCCAACATCCATCGATTCGCCGAAGTATGTGACCCGCCTATTGCCACATCAGATTGGCGTCGGATCACAAAATAATCCCCTTATTTGTAACCATCCATAAGGACTCAAATCGATATGGAAAAAAATAATTCAAAATTTAACACTTGGCAAATTTTACAGGGCCATCCATCACAACAACTTAAAGTAACTGTAGTTTCTTTTTTTTTATATACAAGTTGAAGTCGATTTTGAACTTGAATGAAAAAAAGGAACTAATCTTTCAATGTTACCAACCCAACCAATGAAGTTTGACAGCTACGTTGACATAAAGCCGTTCGCTATCTAAGACAAAACAGCTGTCTTACGTACGTATCAGTAATATGAGTGTCAGTGTCACGCCCTTAAAAACAAACATTAGAGTAACTTTTTGGCGAGATCGGAAAGCGTCACTTTAGCAGTTTTGTTTTTCGTGTTAAAAATAGTGTTGTGGCGGATGTTAGTGTCTAATAATGGTGGATTATTAACCACTAAGTGTTCGGAAACATGCACAAGTGTTGGCAAGTGTAACAAAATAGAGGAAAGTGCCTTTCGACGTTCCTTCAAGAAGTCCACGGGGAGGTTCCAGTCAATCCCCACACATTTACTGAAACATAGGGAAAGGGGGATTGACTTGACTGCCACTTACTTTGACTTGTTTTATTACTTTGACCACGAGTGCTATACAATTTGTAAACATTTTAACACTTGACATTGGCTAAATGCACAAACCGTGCGAAGCCATATAGAAAAAAAAAACATTAGAGTACAAACGATGGAGGGAGGGTTTTCGGTAGTATGTAATTGGTGTTCTACGGATGCGTACTAAGTTTTACGATTACGAAGTACGATTTGCTTCAAGTTTCTTAATACAAACAGCTAGGATGTGACACGACTTTCCTTCATCTGTTTTGTCTTCCATTCCATTTCTCCACAAACATCATCATCATCAGCCTATTAATGTCCCCACTGCTGGGGCACAGGGATAGGGAGGACAATAGGGAGATTGGGTCCTGATCCACCACGCTGGCTTAGTGCGAATTGGCGGGTGCTAAAGACTGCAGATGCAGCCGGGAGCAACGGCTTAACGTGCCTTCCGAAGTAAGGAGGAGCTAGAGACAGTAAATTTTTGGTCACCCATCCAATGAACCACCACCGCGAAAGTTGCTTAAGTTCAACGATCGCAGCCGAAAGCGCTAACCACTTGTGCCATCGAGCTCCACAAACAGTTACCAAGAAAATAATAATTGGTAAAATTTAAAGTTGCGATCTACTTAATTCTCTTTAAGATTGTCTACTTAAAATTGTGTAAGGTAAACTTAAAATTTTCACATTTCCAATTCGCACAAAGTCCACTTATCAGACTTGGTAGTTAGGAGTTCAAAGTTTTAATAGTTGTGTCGTACCAGACTATAAATTGGGGATTCTGATGTTATGCGAACACTAAGTTCTCAAATTGTTCCTCACTCTTTGAAATTATACTAATTACTTTATTTTAGTGGTATTTATGAAGTTAAGTTAAGTAACTTCACCTTTCTTGTATATTAAACGCCACCGCGGCTCAACCGCACTGCCGATTTTAATGGATTTTGACACTGTTATATAAGTATTTGCGTTATTTTGACTTGAAGATACACACATAAAAAAATCTAAGCAACATTCATTTATTTACGCAAATTGATATTATAAATGCTCGTTATGAAATGTATAATATGCATCTGCAGTTGTTAATACCCGCCAATCCGCACTGGGTCCGCGTTGTGGGTCACGACCCAATCTTCCTATTCCATCCATAGGGAAGGTCTGTGCCCCAGCAGTGGGGACATTAATAGGCTGATGATGATGATGAAGCATCTATAGGCTATGATGGCCGAGGGACATATGCCTGTTGGTCATCCTTTAAAAATAAAGAGGGAATATATTTAGTTAATATATTAGCTTTATCCCTAAGCCTACTTGACTTTACGTTTTTAACAATAAAGAGAAGTGAAATCGTAATTAATACGAGCAGTCTTATTTATATTTTTAGCATTATTTTTTTTCAGATATTTAGAAGTTAGAACTTTACATTTTTATAAAGATTAAAAAAAAACTTTACATTTTTATTTATTATATTTACATATTAATATTTAAATTACAAAAGCTTAAAACTAATTTATTGTCAAAAAAATAAAAAATAATAATGACCTAAATAATCTACAACCTACAAAATAAAAAAAAATATCACCCCAAGCGCCGACGTAAGGAATGTTGCCCAATAATCTGGCAGCATTTCTACGTTGGATAACCTTAAATTACTTTTTACAAGTTTTTTGGAGTATCTCCTACATTTTAAAATTCATAACGTTGATGGAAGAATCAGCACTCTGATCCTTTTTGACGAATTAAATTTTTATTGCAAAAATACGTGAAGCTTTTTCTGTCCATCTACTTTCCAATTCAAATTGTATAATCAAATCAGTCTTGCGGGTTTGTGAAGCGTCAAAGATTCAAGAGTTAAACGAAGATACATTCAAAGCAATGAAACTCCAACATAATAGAGTAAACAGCGTCATCCAAAGTCAAGCATTTTCTCCTTTGATAATCTTAGAACATGATGACTTTGCCGAATGGTAATATTTCCTTTTAATAATAAAATCTTTGTATTTGGTGTACTGTAACTTTAGCACGGACCAACATCGAATTCAATCTTGACACGCGTCAAAAGTCAAGAAGTTTTGCATTGAAGATTTTTAATTCACGTTACGTCCATTGTGCCGCTCTTCAAATTTCCATACAAAACTTCTTGACTATTCAAACTATTCAAATTCGATATTGATTCGTGCTAAGAATACTTCACAGCAAAACTAGATAATGAGAATAGGGTATTTGACAAGTTTAAGAAAACGATCTCACGTTATTGACTAATGTTTATGGAGTCCGTAAAAAGATGATATTCATCATTCTGTTGTATATTTCAGTAAAAATAACCAAATCAAAAACTGAATTTTCAAGTTGCCGCGAAAACGTTTTTCTGGACAATGTAACACGACTGTTATTAAAACGTCAAACGATACAATGTAATGTCACTTTAACCGGAAGTGTGACGTCATTTTAGGCTCCGCCAATACCAAGCGTTTTGGGTCACGTGACAATAAATAAAAAAAACTATTATCTTTTTCGTGGGTTTTTTTGAATTATGAATATTTTTTTGTAAAAATAGTAAAGAACCCTGCCAATATTCATTCTAAACACAGATGCTAGCTAACAATTGGCACTTTATTTTAAATACTGTCAAATACCCTATTACTGTCGTTTAAATAATCACAGTTTGCTTCCAAAATAATAAAATTTAAAAGCAAACATTGCTTTTACTCAAACAAGGTTTCCTTTGTTGCAGATTAAACAAAAATGTCCGTCTCCGAATTCAGAAGGAAGAAACTCCTGTTCGTTTTCAACGTATTTTTCGGTAAGTGTCCATTATTATTTTCTCCCTCACAAAGCTCTCGATCCCAAACGATCACTTTAACCGCCACAATGATTTTGCTTCACGAGGTTACGACAATTGACCGCTTATTTGTTTAGTATGTATAATCCATTCTTCCATCTTCATAAAAATATAAGATATACTCTTTACTTTATAAATCTATCTTGAGAATATGAACTAATTATAGAAATTTACTCAGCTATCATTTAACATTACGAAAGATGATATCGTTTATTTAATCATTCTTAAAAAATAATATGTATTAATCAATATAATAATATTTAATAGGCTGTCTCATTAAGGTAACCTTGACGAGTCTACTTTCACCGTCTGTCTATCATTTACTTAAACCTATTATAATTTAGTCAATAGGTAAATCTAAGCAATTCCACATTTTGATATTGGCTAACATCCAAGTTGTCTTTGCATCTTATCTCTGCTTAAATTAAGAAGGCTCTAGTCATAAACTATAGCAGATCTTTACGACATTTATGTTATAAGCCACGGGTTTTTTTTTGTTACTATCAACTGGGTGATCAAAAGTTCTTTCCTTTCCCAAGCAAGCCTATAAGTATTGTTACTGAAGTTTTACATGCTATACAGTTCCTAGAAGATCAATATAAGTTTAAAGCTGAGTACGCGAACTACTTACTCAAGCTCCACTCCAAGCTAGCGTCTTGAGTTACTAAAACTTTGCTTTTCCGAGAAGGGTTAGATTGCTTATTTAAAAGATTTACAGACATTAGTTTCCACCGAACCTAATACTGCAGTGAAAACATTCTCCTCAAATCCTGTTATCTTAATTTAGGTAATGCTGTCTTTTCCTACGAACTTTTCTAGGGTAAAGCAAAATAAAAATAATTAAGTAGTATAACGTGCCTAAGTGATTCTTAGAACTTAAATTCTTAAGTGTATTTTTACATTACGATATAGAAGTTAGCCCATTTAGTCACACCTAATTCAAAAACATTACCTTTTTCGATACTGTTCAAACTACCTACTTAGTTGTATTATGTTTTGAATTTTGATTTAATTGAATACCAACTTAGTTAAATATTTATCACAAATATGTAGTGTCGAATAAGTTATTAATCTAACATTATGTGACTTTTAAGCTGTTATACCTGTAATAACTTCAAAACTTTACATACTTGGGTATATGAAAGCATTGAAATTAATTAAATTTTATTAAATTCAGTCTACGCAATTTACAATGCAAAACATCACATTTCAATCCTGTCAACTAGAGCTGAATTTCATTAACGTTTATCTTTGCACAAACGTACAAGGGTTCGAATATTGCAAGCAAAGGGATATATCTCTCTATTCTATGTAAATGATTTAGATTTTGTCAAAGCAATTTTTTTTTATTTATAGCTCTCAATATTTTGTTTTATTTTAACGTTTTGTTTTTGATTGTTACAGATGTCAATCAAAGTGGAACAATAGAAAGGAAAGACTTTGAATTGGCTATAGAGGTAAGTCGAAAAACGTCGGAGAATACAGAATTTGATTTCAAGGAAGCATTCGATTCTTTAAAACAAAATATAGTTTGTTCTCAGGTGTCTTTTACGTCCTCGATCAAACATCTTATATATGAGTATTCCGAGTTTTGTTGAAGCATATTTTAAAATTTTCCCAGTAAAATGTCACATCGAAGCGAAAGATTATTGCTGTCTGTTTTGTGAAAGAGAAGCGAACTGCTTTTGCGTTAAAGTGTATTTTTGTCACAGAAAATTTGCAGTCAGCGAGGTTGGAAGCCAGGCGATGCCAAGCATACGGAGACACATGAAGTTATGATTAAGATTTGGGATGGTTTACGGAAGAGAGCCGATTCTAATAAAGATGGACAGGTAATTGCATAGCTGTTAGTACATAAATTAGTCATATATCAGTGTTAGTGTGACTATTACTAGTCAGTGTCTTCCTGGTTCTTCTCAGTACAAGGTCTCCCGCTGTAGATATGTCAACCGATGGCGTAGCTTTCGACTTTCACATATGCTTGTAAAAGCCTAAACTGAAATTTATATTTGAAAACATTTTCAATTCATATTGCCACAGACTGTTGAGAAACTGAAAATAGGAAACAGTTTCAGGTGTTTTTGTTAGTGGGAATTAATTCACCTGTGATCTCTTTTTGAACTTAAGCGCAATATTAAAACAAACTTGTTTTAAACTTTTGTATTTATGGTCGAGTTTATAATTTAGTTCTTCATCTTGAAAGCACCAGTAGGTACATATAGTTGAAATAGATGACTTTAGACTCTACAAAGCCCTATGTTTCTAGTTCACAATGATTAGCGGTTTTCAAATAGTTTGGAAACCGTTTGGTTAATTATAACCTATGTGAGTATACAATTTCAATTAAGACTGGGGGTATTTGATTGATGGAAGCTCCTGTGATTTTACCAGCGTAATGGATCGTAACAGTTTTGTGTTTGTTGCTGATTTTTTCAATGAAGAAATACGTTATTCCGATTTTCACTTGACAGCCGGAATCATGCGGACATTTTGTTATTTCCGCAACGTATGTTTCGTTGACAATACATTTATATTGATCGCTGAACTAACACCAACATGTCTGTTAATGGAATTGATGTTTATAAACGACGTTCCTTGTTCACCGTTATATGTAGGTATTAATATATTTTGACATATTTCTAATTAGGTCCCTATCTTATTAACTTTTTAACGTTCAGTTGAGACATCTTTTCATAGTAACCTTTTCATGAATCTTATCCGTTATTTTAAATTCAATGAAACCTTTTTTATCTTATCTCATCAAGGCTTTCATAAGATTCTTAAGATTTGTGATACTTTTAAAGTACAGTGTATGTAATTATTTTGTCATTTTCACAAATCGGGTATGCAAACCAAATAAAAAAAAACTTGACTGCATAATGATGTACTAATTAAAAATACTTAGGCCCATTTAAACCAAAGTTCTTAATTCAAATTCATGCCTAATCGTGTTTAGTACATCAATCCACTTTTATCAATTGTCTTATGTCAAATAATATTGTTTAACAGCATGTGGCTCTAACGTGGTTAGGTGGGACTTAGGCCTACTTGCACCAAAGTTCCTTATCAAAATTTAAAAGCTAAGCCTCATGTGGAAGTCTCCTTCTATCTCTATTTGACTTTGAACAATCGATAAAGATAGAATAATGCGTAAAACATGATTAAGCCTTAACTTTGATTTAAAAACTGGTTGGTACAAGTGGGTCTTAAATATTTTTCCTAAAATTGATATTGACAATATTATACTCCGAATACTTTGTAAAGTAATATTGTACCTAGGTTATTTTTTAAAGAATTCTTGTCTCATATTCCAACGCTTCTCTTTTCATAATCCTATTTATTTGTAAATATAACATGATGTTACTGTATTTGCCATCCGAATCCTGTACATAAACTTATTTATTGATCCTGATATTAGTTGCAGTTTTGCAGTGCAAACTACATTGGTAATTCTACTGCAAAATACATTTGATTTATGTCGTGGTCGGGCTTAAACCACATTTCAAAGTATTCTATATCTCTTGTTACAGCATTGTGTGTTGTGTTTAACTGCTAACATGGTAGGTTAGTAAAGTCAAATTCATTCATATATAGTTTCCAGTAAAACATGAAAAAAGTTATTTCTTTTTTGCTTATATTGTTTTAGTAGGGAAGCCCAAGCGGGGATTTTTGGATTTACACGAGCGCGGCAGAATATATAAATGAACCCTCTAGTAGCTTCCATTCAAAAGCCTAACGATTTGGACTCGACCAAAAGTCATAGTAGTGCATTGAAAGTTTTTTTTGGATGCCCTAGACGTTCGGCCCTACATAGATGGCTCAGATATGGTGGGAGTACTTAACTAGGCGAAAGGTCCCCATATGTTAATCTGCCGCGCTCGAGTAAATCTAAAAATCCCCGCTTGGGCTCCTCTACCATTATGTCATTTAACAGTAATTATTTAATTACGATGACTTCCTATGTAGAACTAGCAATTGAAATTAGGTCCAGAGTAAAGTACTACAGTTAAGACGTAAAAGTATTGCCAGACTGACAAAATAATTTTCGAATTTCTATTTATGTATTCATGACATTTATAACAAAGAGCGTTCAATTTATGTTTAAATAAAAAAGATTTCCTTTTTTCGGTGTTGACATATCGTGCTTACCAAGCCATTGCGACGCAATTTGTAATGATTAAATTATAATTAGTAACAAACAGATTTAATAAAGCAAAATTTCAAAACTACCAGAATAGGGTATTTGACAGTATTAAAAATAAAGTGCCAATAAAGTTAGCATCTGTGTTTAGAATGAATATTGGCAGAGGTTTTTACAAATTTTACAAAAAAATATTCATAATTCATAAATCCACGAAAAAGATAATAGTTTTCTTATCTATTGTCACGTGACCCAAAACGTTTGGGATTGGCGGAGCCTAAAATGACGTCACACGTAAGTAAACTTCCGGTTATAGTGACATTACATTGTATCGTTTGACATTTTAATAACAGTCATGTGACGTCACACACTAGTAAGACGCCATATTGTCCAGAAAAACGTTTTCGCGGCAACTTGAAAATGGAGTTTTTGATTTGGTTATTTTTACTGATATACACAACAAAATGATGAATATCCAATGAAAAATGATGAATTTTTACGGACTCCATAAACATTAGTCAATAACGTGAGATCGTTTTCTTAAACTTGTCAAATACCCTATTACATTTTGAAAGAAAAAAGTATAATACGTATATTTAAATTACAAACTGCTGTTAAAAAAGTATGTAAATGTGCATGCATACTTAGTTATTGGTAATGAATTCAGGTTTGTCAAAAACAAGCTCACGCGTAGCTTTTCCATTGTTACAATAAAATGCCATCGAGGGCGACCTTTATTAACATTTTTGCCGAGTAATTCGGTTATTGTTCATATACGCCCTTTGTACGGAGTAGCCACTCAGGTTTATGAATGTGGTGGAACGCGGGGTTTGCAATCAGTGGCTGTTCATTAATTTTAGCCTCGGTGTTAGGTATGCCAGCCAAATTAAAATATTATAGGTATACTGGCTGACCGAGCGAATTTCATATCACCATAAAAATAGGGATTGTTATTTCAAAAGTGAACAATAAGGGTTATAACTTTTTTGATGCCAAATAGTAAAAAATAAATGTTGTCCAAAAAGTCAAGAAAGATAGTGTTCAGAACATCTGTACAAAAACGCAGCCGTCAAAAGATCTATTGTTTGTTAAAGTGCTCCATTTACCTGTTTGTCCGTTTGTCGCTTTTTATTTTATATATTTTTCTTTATTTACTTTTATTTAGGCTTCGTAGGCCCATAAAATTTAAAATTCAATATCGTTTATTCAGTCTAGGCGAAAAACTACGCCATCGATTCCCAAATCTACGGCGGGAGACCTTGTACTGAGAAGAACCGGCAAGAAACTCAGCAAGGGCTGTTTTTTTCTCCCTGTATTATATACAGAGTTGTCAAATTGAAAAATGACTTCAATATGAGGTAACTCATTAAGATACTACATAGAAATATATACCTTATAGTCTAACATAAATATGAAACATAATTAAAATTCTAAATTTTAAGTAACACGTTTAGTCGGCGACGTGTGGCGCGGAGTTGTGTCAGGTAGCCTACCTTTAAAACGCCGAAGACCACACTTTTCGGACAAAGCTCCTCATTCAAAATGGTCGCCAGATGTTCAGCCGGCACTCTCATCACAAATGAATTAAAATTCACATCGCGGCGAGACCCCAACCACGTGACCCTCAGAAAGAAATTGGTCTTCTTACACAAGTATTCAGCGATCTCCTCCGCCTTCATAGTGTAATGAAAGCGGGATACATACAGCAACGTCACAGGTATCGCTGGACGCAGCAGGTTATTCGGTCCGGTCGGGGCGACGCCGCACAGATTGCGTCAAGCGGATTGCCACTTCCTCCTCTCCACCGTGATGAAAACCTCTCCGTCACAATTACGGTCTCGTGTTTCCGTACCCAAAGGACAAAAACAGGACTTTAGGGTTCCGTACCCAAAGGGTAAAAACAGGACCCTATTTCTAAGACACCACTGTCCGTTTGCATGTCACCAGGCTGTATCTCATGAACATGTATATGTATTTACTCTATAGGGATAAACTGGCGTTTAAACGCTCCGTACTTCATCATTTATTAGACTCCTCCGCATCCTCCTGATATAATATAGATTTGTATGTATATATTTAAATATTTATTGTTATTTATATATATATTATTATTTATGTATGTTTATAGATATGTTTTTATGTAGTATATATATATTATCTTATTTCCATAGATATAAAAATATAAAAGTAATTAGATGAATTCTTTTTTCGTTTTCTTTTTTGTTTTTGCTAAAATTCTCCGGTTGACTGGTAGAGAATGCCTAATGGCATTAGGTCCGCCACTTGTACACACATTTGTGCAGTAAAGTATAAATAAATAAAAAAATAAAATTAATGCATTATCGTGTTTAACACATCATTCCAACTCTGTCAATTTTTTAAAGTCAAACAGAGATAGAATGATGGCTCAATTACACTTGGTCGTTAGCCCATATTCGGGTGCACAAAAGAGATTACTCGAATTCGGGCACCCGAAGCAATATTTAGACTGGAATACGGGCTGGAAGACGGCGTCTGGTAACCAAAACGAATACAGCGGTACTCAACTCCATTCATTTACACTTATACGTTTACCCGAATTCCATTGGCACTCGTATTCGGGCTAGCGACCAAGTGTAAATGCGCCATGAGGCTTAAACATTATAAGCTTTTAAATTTGAATTAACAGCTTTGTTTATGTTATGATATTTG